CAGTAAACCTTGCCAACGTGAGAATGGGACTGAACAGATTTTCATATTTTTTAAACATTTTCTGAAATCAAGGTAGATGATAATCTTTGGGTTCTTCTGACAATTATGCAGACAAGTGCTGGCCAGAACCTCAGATCGAGTCCAATATGGGCTGATCACGCTTTATGACAGATTATGTGTCGAAAGACTCATTTCGATTTGCCCCCAGATCTACAGTACGAACTGTACGCCTTGTCGACCTTCCAATTCACGTTTAACTGTGACTTCCTTGGACCACTAAATGCGAAATTCATGCCAAAAAATGCCAGCTATTTTAACGGCTTGATGTTATCGAGTGTAGTTGCCGATTTGCAACGGCTTCATAGCGAACTGCGGCCTCCGTGTTGCACTATTCACTCGAAAGTGTCAACTGGACCTCGAATCACACAGGAACCTATAAATCTGTTCGACGTTCGGTAGCCGTGTGATAAATTCCATTTAACAAGTGCCCGAGCTTCGAAAATAAAAATAACCTCGTAAATTTAAACTTACCCTGCCATAAGCGGAATCGACGCATTCCGGACTGCATGACATGCAACTCACCTCAGAAAGTACAATTAATCTGAGGAAATACAATCGTGGAGTCGAAATATCCAGATGCTGACTTGTCTTTGCAGCACACAGTCGTCTGATCGTCGATACAGATCAAAAATACTCTGAACAATTTGTCTCGAAACCTCTGGCATGAAGGGAAACGGAAAAGGAAAGTCTCTTGCATGTCGGTCTTAACTTTCATGTTGAGGCGATTTCTTCCGCGCTGCTTTTCATCAGTTTAACATATCATGAGCTAGGAGTGCCTTATTTTAGAGATAAAGCCGAAAGCAGGTACGTAATTTGAACAGTGTGCGGTCTTCTGTCCTTTCTCCCACAAACTGGTGCTCGTTTATAACCTCTGAAGGAAGAAAGGGAAGTTATTCTTATACTGATCACAGTACCTTTCGGTTCTGAGAAAGCGGCTAGCAACTCAGATCTGAAATAACTTTTCGAATTCATTGCTGGAGGGAATTTGTGGTTGAGGCAGAGATTGCTCTTTCTCCTCTTCTCCTTCGCACACATGGTGTTCGAAGCCTGGTTCTTGGTCACAGTGCCACCACAACATCTGAAAGAATACTCTCTATAACATCAAGAAGAGGGATTCAGCTCACTCACTAAAATCAGATTTTTCAACACTTACATAATCGTCTGGTATGGATATGCGGCGTGAAAATATTAACATGACTAAATTGCTATACCCAGGAGCAGTAGGGCTTCCACAAACTCCGTTAGAGACATCTTCGCGTCATGTGACATAACTTTTTGTAACACTGAGGTTTCACTGCGATCTGGTCTTCCGATCATCAAAGGCATTACGAGACTTCAGATTCTGTTTTATTGTTCAAATTACGAGGTATAAGTGAAATTTAGGTGGACTTTTCCACCCAATATTTTTCAGATAAAAGACGGAAGTTATCGCTTTCTTCTGAGGAATATCAACATGACTCCGCAGGATAGGCGTCATGCTTGATTATCCTTAACAGATATTGTTAATATTTCCGTAAATTTAGAACAGTCCTTTGACAGAAATGAAACGTAAATGATGAACATTATCTTCAGCTGATATGAGAGCGAAACAAGCAAACAACATCGCACGACGATTTGAACAGATCCCGGTGATGACAACTGATGTGGAAACCGAGTGGCAGCTGTTTAAGAGAGGCCTACTCGAGGCTGCCGCCGAATGCTGCGGATATAAAGGGGTTGTCCTTCCGCCTGGGGGTCAGCAAAGATCATCATGGTGGACACGTGAGGCAGTTACAACTGGCGGAGGAGATACAACTGCCAGTTAAAGAGAAGAAAGCAGCGTTCAAGAAATGGCTTGGAAACAAGGAGCCATCTACACACGTGCGATATGTCGAGGCACGCAAGGCGGCAGGCATAGCAGTGGCAAAAGCCAAGGCTGATTCCTGGGAGAAGTTTGGTGAAGTGTTGGAGTCGAATTTCTACGCGGCAAAGAAAGTATTCTGGCAGACCATTCTCTGGCTCTGAGGTAAAGAGACGGGCAATCTCAGAGTCTTGAAGGACAGATCTGGACACCCTCTTACCAAGGATGATGACATTCTTCTACGATGGAGAGAGCACTTTGAGGAACTCCTTAACCCCTACCAACCGTAAGAAGACTCGACTGTAGAGCAGAAGGGAAAGGATATTACTATTTCTGTACATTAAATCATCCAAGCTGTCGAAAGGTTGGAAAGTAGAAAGGCTGTTTGAATGTATAAAATCCGCCCTGAAGAGCTTAAAGCCTCCATAGGCGGACAGGGTATATGTTGACTTTCATGTGTGTCAAATTGGAATGGCTATGGGGAGATACCTGCGGACTGGAGAACTGGAATTATAGTACTTCTGTTCAAGAAGGGAGACCATAGTGCTCCAGTTATCAGGACATTATCTTACTGAGCCTCCCAGATGAGGCCTACGCAATGGTGCTGAAAAGCAGGTTCCTCTGAATAACTGACTCTATGGTGCAAAAAGAGCAGTGTGACTTCCGACCCCATCGAAGTACAACTGACCAGGTACAAATTTTTTAGACATCGTAGTTGGAGTTGGCTAATCTGCTTTACATGTGCATTATGGACTTATTGAAAGCATATGGCCGGATCCTCCGCAACAATCTACGACCTGCCTGCGAACATATATGGTCATTTGTTACGGGCCATCCAAC